AACCTTTTTTCTATTTTTTATTCAGTGGCGGAAACAGGCTTCCATAGGATGCGCATCCCGAGGTAACTAGGAATTACACAAGCTTCAGCCTGGATCCAGCCCTTATAAAGATCTGAGATGACCGAACTCCTGAGAAGAGATGATGCCAACCTTGAACCAACAAACAAAACGACCAAATCTTTCTATAAGTTTAATCACAACATTTAGTCATTGCTTTTAATACATTGCTGTAAGAATACACGTCATTAACTAACTGGATGATTTTCTCTGTACATTTCTGCCTTTGACATAGTCACTACTGATAAGCTACATATTTATTATATAATTTAATGAGAGCAAATATGATGTACGCATCCTTAATTCAACATGTTGTATTTTTTTTTACATTTGTAAAAAATATATTTTGCCCAATATTTATTTCAAACAGCTGAAAACAGTGCACTTTTTCTTTTGGCAAGGCAGATACGTGTTAATTGTAATTTGTTAAATGGACAATTGAGAAAAAATATTATTTTAACAAAAAAATAATAATTAAAATAATATTTTTATATACAGTATATATATATATATAAAAAAAAAGTTTGCTATTTTTTTTTTATAAAAAAGATTATGTTAAAGCAAAAAAACCTGTTAACTGGTTACCTTACGCTATACAGTAAAAAAAATGTGAATGATTTAACATTGCATTATATATGAAATACTGTCATACTAAATATTATCTTCTTATCTGTGTACCATAATGTACCATAGGGCATTTTTGTTACATTTTTTGTTATTTAGTTGCATTGTTTTAGTGTCACATATGTTATCCTCATGGTGTTTTGTCTTTGTTTTTATCTATATGTGAGAATTGGTCATGTTTTATGTCCAGAACAGACCATTTACAGTGAAATCTGATTTATCAAGTGGCTTTCTGGTTCACAATCTGTATTAATATGGTGATTATCAGTACACTTTAAAGGAAAATTTTGATTACGGTAATTCAAGTTGATTGGTTTATTAACATAATATCTCTTAATGAAATAGACTGTTATAATTGTCACTGTAGTTTACAGTAAATTTCTGGAAACTACATGTGCCAGTTTTTACAGTGGGTCTCTGTGATTTTGTGCTGCTTTTATTCAAATATTCTGTAGCACAAAAGTATAATATCAGCTTTAAAGTCATAAATGACAGAGCTAAATATCAAGTGTGGTTATTCTGTCAATATGTGGACATTTTGAGCAAATCGTAATCGGCCAGTTGATGATCCATATAAAATTTTTGACACAGGATGTCTTCAGATATGTCAAAATGTCTTTAGAAACTAATAAGTGCTGTACTGTCAGAGTAAGATTACTCAGCATTATCATCACAAGGATTGAAAAAAAAACATTCAAACATAATCTCTTCCATATACTTCCATGGTACTTTTTTGCTTTCCCTGTAAAATCATTCTAACAGGCCTTTAAATATCAACAGGTCAACACGATGTGGAATTGTGGCAATAAAACAAACACTCCTTCCTCATGAAGACAGTTTAAAGTCTTCACTCAGGTGGCTCCTGAAAAATTCCTCTCCTTTTTTCCTTCTTCTAATCCTCTCTAACACGCAATGATTGTCTTGATGTGTCGAAACCGTATGAAAGCCCTGAGGGAGTGCGTGTCATCTAGGAGCCACAGTCCTCTCAGTCTTCTGAGGGCTGAGAAATAGGATGCTCTCAGATTGACTGTAATGGAAAGCGATCTGTGGGCTCCCGTTTCATTTCAAGCTACACATGAAACAAAGGCATCCTCAAAGAAAAACAAACAGCTGAATACAGGAAAAAATGCCAACCTGCACTCGGCTGTATGTCTGTGTTTCCTATTAAAATAAATCCCATCTGTCTTTGTTCATTTTCTTTTTTTATATAAAAAAATATATATGTGATATTATTTTTGCTCTGTTTGAGGCAACAACAGTTAGTTAAAATCTTAAGGTGAAAACCTAGAAATTATTTAAAGACATATTCAGGATTGTGGAGAGCTAAATGTTAACAGCCACTGAAAAACTTGTTTTCAACGGTTGATGATTATTATGAATACTGCAATATTAATATATTTTATTTTTTAAGAAGTCCTGAGGTGAAAACCTGTGAACTACTTAACCATATATTCAATATTGTGCGAACCTAAATGTAATAATTTACAAATCAACCAGTTAAAAACTTATAGTAGTTGACAAGTTAATATAATAACTAGTCTGTATTAAACAGTATCAATGAGACAATATGTGTGACATATAAGCTAGTTTTTGGACTAACTGTTATATGCATGATATTATACAACATCATTTTACATAGAATAAATCAATATTCCCATTAAATATGGCAAAACACATCAAATCACAATGTCAACTGTTCAAAGTCCCTGTAAAAACTGCAAAAATGTTCATCAAAGAAGAAAAAAAAGAACTTAAACTGTGAAAAACAATTAGTGTTTAAGCAGGGTAATAAACAAAACCTTCTCCTAAAATATTATATGTGGATGATAAAAAAGCGACCTTTACAAATGTGAGTAATGTTTAAATAAAAAAATTATAAAATGGTAAAATGAAAATTACTTTCAGTGCTGGATCATTGAGAAAAATCTACTAGAGACAATTGAAAAGAGTGAAATAGTTAGGTTTGGTTGCAGTTTCTCTATCCCCAGTGTTTATGATGTAACCCTCCCTTCATCACGGAGTAACAGACCTCCCATAATCTGCCGGATTTCACACACTCCTGCACAGCCAGTGCGTAGCAGCCAGCCATCCACGCTGCTCTGCTAAACTGCTTGATTTACAAGTGCCCAAGGGGCAGTTTTGGAGACCAAAGCATACATTATTAATGGATGTGGAGTGTTGACATCATGCCAGAATCCATACAACACTTTCCTGCTTATGGAGCATTTCCAATACTATGATAATAAACTGTAAAGGGGGACACGTGCACTGAATAACTTGATTCTCTGAAGTCGGTCCTGGCATGTTTACTACAGACTTGTCTCAAGACACCAAATCCAAGAGTGCTACAAGTGATGTCCAAGCAAAAGTTGAGGGAATCATTCACCCAAAAGAGAAAAATCTGTCATCCGTGACGCACAAAAGGAGACGTGACTGACAGCCTCACTCATATTCGCTTTCAGTGTATCCTGAAGCTGTCATGAACATCTCCTTTTGTGTTCCACAGAAAAGAAGACAATCATACAGGTTTGTAAATAACGACAGACTTTTTATTTTTGGGTGCACTGTTCCTTTACACCAAAGTATCACCAATGGATGCTCCTAAAACATCTCGAACTCACCCATATGTCCCAAAAAAAGTGAGGTTGCTCTTGCAGAGCTTACAGAGAAGAAATTGCTACGCAAACCTATTTATATAAACACACCAGATGTTAACTACAACATTTACATTCCAGCAGGCTATAGAAGCAGCAGCACTTCAGTGTTGTGTTCTGATAGATGGGAATCCAGCACATCAACAATAGTCATGATGAGAGCAAAACCAGCCCACTCTATCTGAGACCAGACAAAATCTGACCTGCCTTTACAAGCTAAGACTCTTCCACATCAAACGAGCGTTACAGGATTTTCTAAGGAGCTGCTTTTAGGGGGGATGCTGGCTGCTGGCACCTGCTATCAAAACCCACTGCGCACGCTTCTCCCAGCCTGCAACAAAAGCTCTGCTGAAGGCTGTTTTTCGCTGGTGAGACTGACCTGAATGGTGCAGGTATACTCCGTATCATCCAGCAGTCTGACCGTGCACATGAATTCTCGCTCCAGGCTTCTGACGCTGCCACTCATCAGCCGACTCAACATCTTCCCAGAGCACGATCGCTGCTCTGCGTCCGGGACCACAACAAAAAGCTCAAGCAATGTCACATCGACCAAACTCTCCGGTCGCCCAGGTGAAACGAGCTAACCGAAGCCGACGGCATCTTTATCCGATGACATGAACGCTGCAGATGTTCGGCTGAGTGTTTTATTTTCTGTTATCGCGAACAGGTTCCTCCAGAACGCATCCAGCTCCAGCTTAAGTCGCTGTGGTTACGAGCAGACAGTAGCAGCCCGACTGTTGACCATTCACCGCTTGATATTTGAGCAAGGGGGCGGGACCACAGAAGCTGATTGACACTCCTTCTAGCCAATGGTTAAGATCTCCAAATAAGGACGCGTTTGAAACGGACAATGAAAGATTGAGGTGCTGCTGCGTATTTGGAGGTGATTGTTGTCCAGTAAGATGCTGGACAAAGGTAGTAGTAAGGTTATAAGGAATATTCTGTACTCTTCATTTCCTGGAGCAGTATTGTTTTTTCCTTCTTTTTCTTAATTCTAAGTCTTTGGTATCAATAACAACATCAAAGTAGTATCTTACAAAATATTGCATAAGATTTGTCTGGCTAAACGAAAAGATATAAATGAAAATGAAACATTTCTAAATATTTATTCAAGATTCTTTTAAAATTATTTAGAAAATTGTATTGGGAGAAAATTGGTATGTGCAGGATATTTCTTTCTTTTTTTAAATTACATTTAGTCATTTTTAATTTCATAAATTTTAATGAATGAATATAAATTAATTATTTTTTCACATAAATTAAAGCAAACACTGAAAGCGCACTGTGTGACTATATGTTACTGTATTTATCTTTTGTCTGTGTTGTATTGAATAAAAACGATTATCTTTTTGAATAATAACTATATTATCTATAGTTTTTTTCAGCTTCATGCAACATTAATTTTAATTATCTGTAAATGTGATATGGCTTAAATGTATAATACCTGTAAATACGAATTGTTAAAATAAAAATGAATGTATCATCTAATCCAAAACACCTTCTGATTTTCCACATTTTTCATCTTTTGACATCTTTTAACCTTATTATTACCGTATTTATGTAAGTTCTACAAATGCATTAATATTTAATGACTTTAATATCAATACCTTTACATTCCAAGACTGCGTTTTGAATATGAAATTTCATCACACAGGAAAACTCCAGAAGTAGTACTTTATTGGTTATATAAGAATATTACACTTAATTTGATTTACAAATAATTTGTATAAATATTTCTACATTTGCATGAGAACTTCTTCCTTTCATTGCTCTCTCTCTCTCTCTCTTTCTCTCTCACAAACACACACACATTTACTGTATCGCAACTGGTAATTAGTAAGCAAAAAGTAAACAATTAATGTAAGAAAAATCCTTTGTTGCATCAAAACAATGCCTTACTGTGTATTTGTAAAGGGAAGGAACATCACATAGTGAATTCATTAGAGTCATTTTCATCATTCTCCTCTGGTTCATTGCTGCTCGTGGAGGTGGATTTGGCTGAACTCTGTAATCGGTTCTCAGCCTTGCGTGTGAAGGGCTGACCAGGTCGAGGATGGTTCTGATGATGAGGATATCTTATATTGGACATGTGGTCCACAGTATGGACACGACTGTCCACTGGTCTCATCTGATTCAGCTTGCAGGAGGCAATGAGAGGCCTGCCTATGTCCAGCTCTTTGCTCTCAGTGAGACGTTCTTTAGTTTGTGTGTGGGTGTAGTGCAGTGTCACTTTGATCACCAGAGATCCCTAGGAAGTATGAATAAACTGCAATTATTTACTGTCTTTAAACAGTATTTTTGACTTTCAGATATAGTGCATTATTCTACATCAGTGGTTCAGTGGTATATATTATAAGAAAAAATATAATAATATAATATAATATAATTAATATAATATAATATATATTTTTTTCTTTCATAGCCCCTTTAATTTTTAGTTAGTTGAATTTTATCATTTGCATATTACATGCTCGCCAAACCAGTGACCAGTTGACAATCAAGTGTTTTAAATAGAACGTGTATCATCATCAATGTTTTAAAATTTAAGATCTATACCTCTGTTTTTCATTTCAAAGACAAAAAGTCCTGGTACCTGGAGTCTTTGAAGGCAACATAACCTGAGGGTGCAGTCAGGAGTTTCACCGCTCTTCACAAGCAGACTGTCCATTTCTTCTGATCGACCAGAACCTGAGAAAATGTCCTGCATTTGCTAAAAACAAAAACATATCACCACTTAAACTGATATCAAACATACAGGTAAAGTGAATGTCGAACTGTATATATACCTGTTTTTATACAGTCTATGATATATACCCAATGACGTATAACACATTTTCACCCCTGGAGGTCAGTAGACCTACAGTTTTGTTATCCTCCTACTTCTTTCTGCTGAACTTTTTAAACTTCACATTTGCAGTATAGCAATATTTTTTTTATGTTAAATCATTACTGTTTAAACTATTGTGAAAATAAAAATGCAACTAATTACATAACATATCAGAGGAACAATTTACTAAAATCTAAATATCTATTTAAAACAAATATATTTGAGCTTTTGGGTGCATTGCTTGTGTATAAGTATATATAAATGTACTAAAATTACTATATTTCAGTACTAAAATTACTAAAAAGATTAAAAATTTTTTTAAAGAATATAACGAAACAAAAACAATTTTAAAAAATGACAAAAAGCACATAAAATTATTGAAAACTGAAAACATTCATATTAAAAATTTATAAATATTATAATATTATATAAATAATCCTGAATTAACACTGGCTATGAGTTGTGCTACCAAAATCTGTTACAGCTCAATACAGTTGGTGAGCAATGCTTGATACAAAATATAAGACCTATTTTGTCTAGAACAGACTCACGAAGGGAGTGAAAATTGTTTAGTTTTATTATTTCCTTTAATGTTCAATGCCACTGCATGAACCTCCTCCATATTACATACATAAGTTTGGAAAAATGTAAGAAGCACATTCAAGTACAAAACACTATGAAACACAACCCTCTTTCCTTTTCTGGGCCCTCCCGTCCTGACTCTCATATCCACCTTGTGTATCCGTGTGTATGTGTTTATCACAGCAAAAGAGGACATGAAAAGCTGTGACTTACTGGTTCACTCTCAAGAATCAGAGTGCAGTCCTGGGCCTTAGCACTTGTGTTCCTCACTGTACCAAACACAACCAGGACATTGGAGAACAGGGCAGAGAAACTCAGCTCCACCTTAACAGCACAATATGGAAAATCCAGAGACCTTCGGCCAGGAAGAACTGAGAAAAACATGAGCAAACACATAAATAAAGGAGCACTCCACTATTTGTGAAAATAAGCTCATTTTCCAACTCCCCTAGAGTTAAACAGTTGAGTTTGACCGTTTTCGAATGCATTCAGCCGATCTCCGGGTCTGGCGTAGCACTTTTAGCTGTAGCTTAGCATAGATCATTGAATCTGATTAGACCGTTAGCATCTCGCTCAAAAATGACCAAAGAGTTTCTATATTTTTTCTATTTAAAACTTGACTCTTCTGTAGTTACATCGTGTACTAAGACTGACAGAAAATGAAAAGTTGCGATTTTCTAGGCCGATATGGCTAGGAACTATACTCTCATTCCGGCATAATAACCAAGGAACTTTGCTGCCGTACCATGAGTGCAGCAGGCGCAATGATATTACGCAGTGCCTGAAAATAGACTAACCACCTGCTTGCACAGGGAGCGTGCAAAGGTTTTTTTTTACCGAAAACAGTAAAACTCAACTGTTTAATTCTAGGGTAGTTGGAACATGAGCTTATTTTCAAAAATAGTGGAGTGTTCCTTTAATGGGGAAAAAAGGAAACACACATAACAGAAACCATAAAGTATTAGATTCTGATAAGTGTGATGAGTATAACTATTATATTTGTTACTGATGTTGCGAAAAAGTAAGATAACGGCTGCATTCATCAAAGAAACCTACAAGCTGGTACATGCAAGCATGTTTAAAGGCGTCAGAATACATGGTTTGCTCAAATCAACAAAATGAAGCTGTCACAGTCTAAAGTGAATAATGGAATCCGTTTGAATCAGATCACTGGTGACAATTTGGCTCTTTTTGGGAGGAAATCCATTTCCTTTTAAAGAAGACACATGGTTTATGAATGATCCTTCAGCGGTGCTCTTACCATGAGTCATGAGTCAAAACTGGTTATGCACTATTTTTTTGGTACAAGAGACCTTTACTCACGAAACTTTAAAATAGAAAACACTTCTTCTTGCTGTTTACTGTATTCAAATGATTGCAGCCCTGAGTCCTGTATAAGAGCATAAGATACTTTTTCCAGAAACATGTTAATTATTCCAAATATTTACCGGTAGTGTAAGTAGAATACAGGTGAAAAAAATACAGATATAAGATAAGATATAAGGTATACAGTTAACCCCATTAATGAAGGTATTTTTGTTTGTTTGTGTGTTTGTTTACATAGGATGCATTTGAGAAAGGAACCTCTGATGACGTAATATGTGACCCTGGAGCACAAAACCAGTCATAAGTAGCACAGGTATATTTGTAGCAATAGCCAAAAATGCACTGCATGGGTCAAAATACCAGATTTTTTCTTTTATGCCAAAAATCATTAGGATATTAAGTAAAGATCATGTTCCATGAAGATATTTATTAAATTTCCTATCGTAAATATATCAAAACTTCATTTTTGATTAGTAATATGCATTGCTAAGAACTTCATTTGGACAACATTAAAGGCGATTTTCTCAATATTTAGATTTTTTTTTGCACCCTCAGATTCCAGATTTTCAAATAGTTGTATCTCAGACAAATGTTGTCCTATCCTAACAAACCATTCATCTTATTTATTCAGATTTCAGATGATGCATAAAACTCAATTTCAGAAAAATTGACCCTTACGACTGGTTTTGTGGTCCAGGTCACATATAAAGTTGGTTAAGGAATATGTAAATACCATTAGCCTGTTTCCAACAAGCATCCCGCTGGCGAAGCTCCATGGTGTGTCCAGATGTTTGCACAGGATCGGTCAAAGCCCGTGGCTCTGTCAGAGTGTGTCTGATCTCTACTACCTGCCTGCCACGCACCAGTGGGTCCTTACCCAGATCTAAAGGAGAACGACAGGGTTCATTACAAACAAACTATTACGAAATACATTAAATATGTTCTCTACACACTATGGTATTACTGTTCTGTTGAAACGTGATTGGTGTTCATCGTGATGATCAGACACTGAAACATGACTCAGCAAGTTGTCCATATAATTGGGAAGTTCAAAACCTTTGAGGAACATGCTATAAGGTCCCTTCCCTAATTGCAAAAGAAAGTAAAATAGCAATTCACACATATTAAGTTCTGCTCTCAAATAAGAAAAACAGACTTGAGACGTGCTGCTTTTTTAGTGCAGAAACATTGCAAAAAAATTACAGGATTTTACAATTGTAATATATATTTTATTGCGAAAGCAATGCAAGTTGGGTCATTTTCTGTAGTAGCACAACAGAACACTGAAAAAAATAAAAATGTATTTCATTGTGATAAAGTGTAAATAAATGTTTCCTCTAAATTCACCATATATTCACTTCCAGTACAAGTTGTACAATTTATGGCTAAATTAATTATATTTATTATATAACATTATTAGATAATAGTGAATTAAATTGAACAAAAGTGACCATAACATGTATATACCATATACATGTATAATGCTGCAAAATATTTGCTTCAAGTAAATGCTCTTCTTTAAACTGTCTATTCATCAAAAAATCATGAAAAAAATTGTATTACAGTTTTCACACAAAAATATTATTAAAATATTAAATATTAAAATATTATTCAACATTGATAATAATAAGAAATGCTTCTTGAGCACCAGATTAGCATATTAGAATGATTTCTGAAGGATCATGTGACACTGAAGACTGGCGTAACCGATGCTGGAATGAATAAACAGGAATAAAGTAAAAAAATTTTGGTAATTATATAACACAATATTACTGTTTTTACTTTATTCTTGGCCAAATAAATGCAGCCTTGGTGAATATGAGAAACATTTTTTAAAAATTACTGACTCCAAACTGGAATAATAGTGTAAATACAGTACATTTACTAATAATTTGAACAACTTGTTCCAAAATTAAATTGCTAGCCAGAAATACAGAATAAATCCACACTAAAAGGATTTACAGCATAGTGTTGAGTTGTGAGTTGTGCTTCACCAGTAACCAGTGTTGAAGCATTGATTTATGATCAAAGACAGTTGAGACAGGAAGGAGCATAGTGCTTGTGGGCATGACAAACACAGTGATAACGGCAGTGGGACAGGGTGCAGACTGAGCAACAAGCATACGAGATAGGAGAAGGAGGGGTGTAAGTGGGGCACCCTGCAGACATCCCTAGGTTAAGCACTCTCAAATTTCCCCACCTGAGCACAGCAGCCAGAGAATGAGGTCACATGCTTTGGCAGCTACAATATAAAAAGCCAAGTGCTGTTACCAAAGAGACCAATCAAACAACCAAATAAGCTCTCTGCAGGGAGAGGGGGGATTTGCTCAACCATTAAAACACAAATAAACATTCACATCATGCCGTGGAGGATACAGAAAACCAATGTCTGGCATACAGTGGATGTCAACCAGTTGTTGCGTTCACAAGTACTCCAAGTAGAAATCCGCTAATGATCAAAAGCTCTGAAAGACACTGTGACCTTGTTCACTACATGTGTGAATTATGATGTAATATGACAATATCTTGTTATTACTGTGCTTGCAAGGCAGCACTGTTCTGAAATTGCTCAAATGTACTGGTTAGGCTTTGATATGAACATCTAATATTGACTTTGGAGACATTTCAACTGTGCACGATCAGCTCTCACATATACTTAATTAAATAATCACCTTTAAAGGTGCACCAAGCGATTTTTGAAAAACACTTTTGACCACAGCTTCGGACGGAGTCCCAAAACACACTTGTAGCCAATCAGCAGTAAGGGGGCGTGTCTTGTAATGACAGAGAGACGAGAGCACTTAGTTTGAGTGCACAGGACGGATATTAGCAGATCGACTATAGAAAGAGAGAGATGGCAGATAAAAAAAGAGGAAAATATCAGAGAAACAAAACATTAAAAAGAAGGGTTATGATCAGGCAAGAGGTAGGACCCGCTTTCCAGCGGTGGAGAGAACTCAAGGAGCGGGAAGGGCTCGAATCGGACGCCGAGGTTGCATTGTTTCTTCTTGATAGGTGAATGACGTAGGTGAATAACGTTGATTTTACTTAGTTTCACACAACTTATCTGTGTTGGCTTTTGTTTGAATATGCTTGTGTGCCATGTCTTCTTCACTTCACTTCACAAAAATCGCTTAGTGCATCTTTAATAATCACATTAGTCTGTACTGTGATTCCTGTTTTAGGGCCCTGTGAAATCTGTCTTTATTTTTCCCAAATTCCGTAATTTATGTTTAAACTTTTCTCAATTCTGTTTTAATGGTTTATTAAATTGTAAAATTCAAAAAGGGCGTCTAATAAAACTTTACATTTAACTGTTTATTCAAATTTTAACAATAATAGTTTATATTATTAACTATTATTAATAGCTTGTATTAGCTATTATAGCTAATAGCTGTTTATTATTAAATATGGGGTTAATCAAATAAATGCATACAACTAATCTTTTAAAATATAAATCAAATTCATTTTGAACAATCAGCAAATAAAGTGCTGCACAACAGAGGTTTGCAGTTAAAAAAAACTGTGACATTTCTTAAAAAGTAATGTTTTAATAAATTATATTATTGAATTTTTTTATTTCTTTGAAAAGTACATTCTACCAATTTTAGTTTTTTAACCAAAAGTTTTATCAAATGAAATTGTAAAATGCTCATGAAGTAAACTTTTAGAGCAGCTCTGGAGATGAAATTCATGTGTTCATGTCCAGAAGTAGTGAGACAATAGACTAAAAACATGCGCGCTTGAGTATAGCAGACAAAACTGCACCACGTTTTGCAGTTTAATATTAATATAATTTAAGTGGACAGCTCATCCAAATTTTGCCAAATTCTGTAACGTTATACAGTAAATTTCATTGTTATGACTGGATTCTGTGATTACATCCACATTTTCCACATCACAGAAGTCCTACTATTTTTGTCCCCAAATTTAAGACCTTTGAAAATGAGAGTTGCTATGAAATTTTGTGGGCAAAAAGGCCATTGTCTATTGTCAACATTGTAGCAGTGTATAAATAAAAGCTCACACAGAAGTCACTTTCAAACTAAGCAACTTTCTCTTGATAAACACAGCGAATCTCTGAGACCAGCTTGAACCCATTGCAAAATCTGCAAGGGGAAATCTTTCGCCTTCAAGTGAAATTCACAATCGCATGAATTCCGTTTGAAATGACAGTATTTCGCCCATGAAAATGTGACCGCACGGCACCTTCAGAAGGAAGCTGTAGGCAGTATAGGTAGTGAGACTAAGTTTTGGAACAGAAGAGCATTGGTAGCAGCACTTACCCTCAGAGACCTGCTCCAAGACATGGGTCACCCTTTCTGGCTTTAAGACATGTTTGTTCAGATACTTGGTGAAGATCCCTGTGCTCTTGCCACCATCCTGGACCTCGAAAGCCTCTGCATCTTCACTCCTGTGGGAGCAAACGTCATGATAATACAAAAAGAACACAATCACTGTTGTTTAAGAAGTTTTGTGGGAGGCTTAGAACAATTGTCAGTACTTACGTGGCGTATCCATATACAGTGTTGCCCAGAGGAGCCAAAGGCTTAATTTCAGAGGAAGGACCTTTTTGTTTGTACCTGGAGGATATAAAATAGCAAAAACATTGAACAGTGTAGCAGCATGTAACATTTCTGAAACAATTTCAAGAATCTGGAATTCTAAATAGACATTTTTTAACAAACAATAAGTTACACAAGATCATCATGTTCCTGCAGGCCTACCATTTCCTACAGGTATCCAGGAGAATGACATTGAGCTGGGCTTTTCTCTCCTGCATACTCTGCATCACTCTCTGTACACACACACAGTTTTCCGTACGGTAGGGTCGTGGAGCGTCAATGGCTACCAGGTAATTTCTGCCAGAGTGCTCGTAGCCATGGCCAGCGTAGTAAAAAACAGCTGAAATTGGGAAAAGAGAAGATGTGTTTAATAATAGTCCACAATATTCAATATGTTTCTGTTTTAGGTCTCTGGTTAAGTACCTTTTATATACAACATTGCCTTTTTTAAATATTGAATGTAAATTAATTACAGAGAAATCAACAAATACTTTGATTGTTAAATTAAGTTCAAAAAAGTTTACAGGAAGCGAGATTCAAATCTTGGGAAACACAGAAAACTGGTGTTGTAACTGTCAAATCTTTCACTACTTTCAAGGGGTAGTGCACTAAAAAAAGGAAAATTCTGTCATCATCTACTCACCCCATAACGTTCCAAAACCCGTATGACATTCTTTCTTTCAAAGGAACACAAAAGAAGAATTTTTAAGAATATCTGAACCATAAAAGCATCAAAGTAGTTCATTCGACTCATGCACTAGCTTCCAAAACCAGTGACTGCTTCCAGAACCAGTTGATCTGGTCGCATTGGACTCAGAGTTTATCAGTGAACAACAACTTAAAATGTCAGCTTGTTTACAACACAAAGCAATTGTATGCCATTATAAGATAGTTTTACAGTGCTTTTGTGTCCTTCTTGAAGCTTGAACTGGCCAAAAATGTACAATTTGTGCTCCACAGAAGGAAGAAAAGAGACATTTGCTAAGTTTGGCAAGATGTTAGGGTGAACAAATGATGACAGAAACTTACTTTTTTGGTAAAACATGAAAACTACACAATGTTTCATATTTTGATGATGCTGTGACTGACTATTGCTATGACATCAGCTAAATGTAACCCATACTGACAACAGTACAGAGGCAATCAATGTAATGACTAAACACTTTCCATTTTTCACTTTCTATTGAATACACTGTGTGCCAAATTATTTTCATTATGAGGCAGTTTACAATACAAGTTTAAAAAAGGAAAGTCCAATGTGGGCTAAGCAACCAGTATAAATCTGTTGGTTAGAAGCATTATAGGTTTCTGGAGATAAAAGCAGCAAGGCTACTGCCCACACATCTCTTATCAGCCAATCAACAGACTACAGCATCTCAATGTTACTCTGAAAAAAGCCCTTTGGTTGAAAGTGCTGTGGTTTTTTGACCCATGACATGCACTGATACTGTATCACCGGAACAAACAAAGCCTTTTTTCCACTCAGATGGAACTTCCTCTGACTCGTCACTGAGAAGCTCCAGTCATGTTTATTGAGCAACACTAAAATTCTTTTTTTTCAGGAGAATTTCAAATGGACTGTGTAGTGTCCAGCACTGGAAAAAACATCCATCACAACACTTTCCAGCACAAAACATACACTATGGAGACACAATGGATAGCACTGATAGCCACAACTTCAAACTGAGAAATCCGGATCATTTCAAATGAGCATGTTATTGCACATTGCAATTTATTTATTCCTGCACATAATTTACTGACTCTTTTTTGCAGTCAGGAACCTGAAACTTTACCCTCAAACAAGCCATTGCCATCAGTGCAAAGTCTACATCCTGTGAGAGAATTAACTGTAGTTAAAGCAGTCCTGTGAAACACACCAGGCATATCCTACCGGCTCCTCCAGCAAGCCCACAACATGTGACTCACCATACACTCCACGATCCAGGAGCTGCAAGAACTTGTCAATGGCAGCCTGCATTTCCGGAAGGGTGAGATCAAGCAGAGAGACCACTCTGAAGCCTAGCTGTTGCAGAAGATTGGCCAGCTCATGAACATCCATGATGGGGGCCATCAGACCAGGATGGTGATTGTAGTTCAGGTTCCCAATCAATAATGCCACTTTGTCGGTTGCTAAGGGAAAGAATGTTTTCCTTCATTAAATTTGTTTATAAAGGTTTTTGTTTTTTTTATCGTATTATATTTGATTTTATTATAATTTTAAAATATACACGTTATATTGATTGCATGGGTAATTTACAAACAGACTTTGTAAAGAAACAAATAAAGTGTTATTTTTATGCAGAATTTTAAATGCACTGTTAATATTTTTTTAATAATGTTTTTTTTATTTTTATAATTTCATTTAATTACTGGGTATTACAAGTAATTTACAAACAAAGTAAAAAAAAAAAAAGGAAATATTTTATACATATGTCTTCTATAAGGCGTCCTGCATGAGCTCTGAATGCAGTTCAATGGAGGATTTGACTTTCTAAGATTTCTTCTATTTCAGCTAACTTTCAAACTTTTAATAATTTCCATAACTGTGGCCGGCCTCCAATTCATTATTTGAAAACTCCCTGATATTTCAAGCTTTTTCCACAACTGTGACAATCCTACATGAATGAGAGTGATTGTTTTCTAGGGGAAATATTCAAGGTGGGAGTATTGTGAAACACAGGTAGGTACTAAGTCTACTTTTAACCTGACATGAGCTGAAAAAAGCTTTTGTCTGTGACCTACCCATAAGCGTGGGTGTTGGTTGTTGATCTGGAGGCGCTGTGGGGGAACCAGAGGAAAAATGTTTTGGTGAAAGTTGAAAGAGAATGAGAAATGTTAGCATGCTGCTGCATGCTACCCACAAAGCCTATAGCTCGTGTTCTTCCACTAGATTCACTATGGAAAAAAATTCTCAGAACGTTAACATTATTTGCGTTCCACAATGTGACAAGTAAAAAGGGAAGTTTTCATTGAGCTGGTTTCAGTCTAACTTTAGTTTTACTCTCATGTATTTAAGGATCTGTTTAGACCCAAAATACAAGTTCAGTTCCTGATTGTTCTTAACTCCTACAAATTGTGGAAAGTACCAGTAATTTGAAACTAGACTGGGACTACACTGAGCACAAAGAATTCATGGCCCAGAGCAAAAGACTGGATAGTTTCCTTTACTAATTTTTTCATCAAATTGCTTTTCATCACAAAGCAAGTTGCTAAGGAGATCTAATGTGCAAGTTAAATTGAATCATGATGGCAAACAAAGTGAGAAGGGATTGTCAAATTTAATACAAGATCCATTGGTGAGCAAGTAATGTAATGCTAAATTTCTCCAAATCTGTTCCGATGAAGAAACAAACTCATCTACATCTTGGATGGCCCGGGGGTAATTTTTTAGCAAATTTTCATTTAAGAGTGAACTATTTCTTTAACTATTTTAAAATAGTAAAGTAATATTAAGATTAAAAAAGATTACCAATTTGCAAAAAATATATTTTAATGTTTAAATAAACATGAAAATTAAAATAAATGATGTGGCAGAGATGCTAATTAAGATCAACAATTCCAGAAAAAAATAAACATATTCTGTATGAATGACCATCGTGTAAACATAAAACCATGTGATCGGAGAAACGACAAACAACAAGCGCTACTCTAGCGCTACGTTTGTGCAGTGGCACAAAACTCGCGTTTGAATCGTCAGTGGCAAATTCTTTTAATATGAAAATGTACTTACAGGCTGTGAGTCAGAAGCTGTCCTTGCAAAAGTTGGAACTGCCCCACTTTATAGAAACAGACTTTGTGCACAGACGCATTGTAGTCTATTCTCCCAGGATCAGGAAACAGTCCTCCATAAAATGCGCTGCACACATCTGAATATTTGGGTTGAACTGTTCTGGAACAGTGTTGTAAATACAACTTAACCACTGATTTCTAGTTGTGTCCTCTTTTGGAAGGCCAAACCAAGTATTTTTGCTTTCACACTGAAACACACAGCGTCTCCACGACATGGCGGTGGCGGCAGCAACAATACTACAGCGAGAATCAAAGTTACGCCTTCTTTCTTTGCGTGAACATTTGGGCGGCGTTATGCAAATCTTCCCACACAGTGACGTAGACATGTGGGGGCGTGTTAGAACGAGGCATTTAAGGAGGGTGTGGACGAGTCTTAACTTTTATAAAGAATATCTCTTTGGGTTTGAGACTTGAATCTTTTGCAACTTTAGGGATCTTATCTATGCACGAACAGCTTGTAACTAGGGATGCACCGATATGAAAATTTTGGCCGATACCGATAACCGATTATTCTTTATTTTTGAAAGCCGATAACCGATATGTTGGCCGATAAATCTATATCCAAATTGTTATATACTTTTTGAGAGCCTGATTACAAAAAAGGTCTCATCATTAAAAGCCACATCCCAAACACTTCAACATAAGCAGCCTAGTTTGAACGGTGTACGTTTTAAAAATATGTTTACTCTCCCATTACCAAATTTAGTCATAAAAAAGTCTTACAAATAAATAAAATAATGCATAAATAATGCAAACAAGTCACTGGACATCATTACACGTGTAAAGAATCAAAATGAATGCGCCATAGATCAATAAAACGGAATAGCCTCTGCACGGACAATAATTAAATGATTTTAATTACTAAACCATATTGTTGATGAAAATAATAAGAGAAAAATACAAGTGGTTGTTGTTATTAATAATATATCAATGATTTTGAAAAAGTAACAAATTAATACCACTGTTTTAAATAGCAGCCATTGAGCTGCAGCTCAAGCTGAAGCTGAAGAGCTGAATGAACACGGTAAACTGAAGCGTTTTGCTGGCAGCTTATTTAACTCAAGGAAATGCATCCTGAGATTAATATTAATACAACATAAACATAATATTACAACTTATATATGTACAAAATGACGCAGTTATTGCATGCTATAGTCAGAATGTGTGATCCTGTTGTGGATGCGCTCTTCCCATAACAACGCGCTGAAACACAGCAACTAAACCCAAAGAATGCACAACGTTTTATTATAATAATGTTCTCATTAGAATGTTATATACACGACATTCCCAATCATAGTTATTAATGTTGTGCACTGCTGTTTGAGCTGCGTGTGCTGAGCTAAAGATGATCACCGGTAAACTGAAGCGCTCTTTTAACTTAACCAAACGCATTCTATGAGATAAATCAGATATACATCAAATAAACACAATATTACAATGTACAATTGCACAAAAGGCTGCAAACGAACAGCGCGCATCTGAAGTGTCTCTGAAGGAAATAATGCATTATTTATCGGCTTTAAGATATCGGCCAAATTTTCTTATCAGGCCGATACCGATAACAGAAAAAATGAGCCGATATGGGCCGATACCAATATGGTGGCCGATATATCGTGCATCCCTACTTGTAACACACCAAAGAGAAAGGAAAACATGAAATCGCATCATATGACCCCTTTAATAAAAACTGAGTTATCTGTTTTTGCAAATAAACTCTTCATATATAGAAGTAGACATTTCTAAAGGGGAAAAAACGCATAAGGATAGGTATATTATACCAGTTCTCATGACTGTCGGCGCTACTCTTAAGTGTGTAAGGGCCTAAACCGCAATAGGGCTGCACTGTTAAGGTAGTCAGTCATTTCAGAATTTTACCACCTGTGTAAAAAGAAAACAGAAGTATGAATAGTGGCATAACATAACAAAAAAAGTGGCATTCAGAATCAAAACAAAGATACTTGGAGAAAAGTTAAGCAATCCAGAGTTTGGAACAGTTAGCACAGATAGTGTCCAATGATTAATTATTAAAAGAAGCAAATCTATCATGATTTCAACAGTGTTTGTACAGTCATTTCATGCCAAAGTAGTACTCAAGAGAAAAGTGACAGCAAATTTGAAATGACTGGGTTCATAATATCTTGTTTATCCTAAAATAAAAATGTACCCATTTTTACAACTCTTTGCAGGGAAATGAGAAGTCTCTTTCATAGGTTTATTTAAATATTCCTATTTGTGACCCTGGACCACAAAACCAGTCTTAAGTGTCAATTTTTCAAAATTGAGATTTATACATCATCTGAAAGTTGAATAAATAAGCTTTCCATTGATGTATGGTTTGTTAGGATAGGACATTTGGTCGAGATACAACTATTTGAAAATCTGGAATCTGAGAGTGCAAAAAAAATCAAAATATTGAGAAAATCGCCTTTAAAGTCGTCCAAATGAAGTCCTTAGCAATGCATGTTACTAATCAAAAATTAAGTTTTGATATATTTACGGTAGGAAATTTACAAAATATCTTCATGGAACATGATCTTTACTTAATATCCTAATGATTTTTGGCATTAAAAAAATTCTATAATTTTGACCCATACAATGTATTTTTGGCTATTGCTACAAATATATCCCAGCGACTTAAGACTGGTTTTGTGCTCCAGGGTCACATTTATGCTTTAATTGTCATTTCAGATTTCTCAGTCTGAGGACTTAAAAATACCATTCTTTAAAATGTCACACCACTTCAATACAATAAAATACCATAATGCATTAGCAGTTATATCAGCTTATGAATTTTACGGATTATAAAGCAATTCTCCAATATGTAAAATATAAGGAATGAACCATTTAGCCTAAGAAAAAATTACAGTTCTAAAAACAAATGACTTTTTGACCTTTTGTGAAAACATGATCCCATTATTTGGCAAACAGATACCGTAATTAATAATTGTATAAACTGTAACACTTAAAACTATTTGGACCAAGTTATATTTTTATAACTATGTAAGCACAAGTTTAAACGTTTTTGTCTGAATGTACGTCAGTGTGGTTTTATGGCGTTCACTTGTTTACACAGCAGCTACAGAAAAAAAATATATGATATGGAAATTTTTGTTTGGAGGAAAGAATTTACAAAATTACTCTAATTTAATATGAGTTAGAATTTTTGGCTCAAACCCTTACAGTCACTTTTTAACAGTCTAAACAGTTGCTTTTTAACAACTTCCTTGTGTGTTAACCAGTCCCGGTTTGTGGCGTCGTTCGCTTGCAGTATACAGTAGATGTAGAGGGGTGTTACACTCACCTGTCCTAGTGCTCATTGCTGTATGCTGTGAATGCCGGCTGACTGCGACTTATATCACACTCACTTCCTAAAACCCGTCATGCAGACATACACAGAGCCTCAAGCTGTATCGACGTCTGGATATTCAACATGCTGCGATAGAGTTTGGCTGAAAAATGAATGGTTTCCCGTAATAATGACAGACTGGCCCTCCCACTACCGCTGTGCTCAGTGTAGATGCGCCCTCGACATCTGCACACTGCAGCAGGTACAGTAGACTGAAAATATTTTTAATATTTTACAGGTTAATGACAGGCTGACGTCATATTGAAAGCAACTAACAATCCTGAGCTGGAAAGATGATTGATTATTGGTAGGTAGCCTATATGAGTTTACTAGAAATAGCATAACCAGTTTATATTAAATAATATTTCTATTTTAGGTAAATGTTATATTCATAAATGTATATAATTTTTATTATAATATATATATATATACTGTATATATATATAATTTTTCAAAGTTTCAAATTTGTTTTTCAAAAAGAATGTATAATATTCGGTATTTATTTATTTATTTTATTTCTCGTCTCCGTGCTCTCAGCACTTTTGCTTTTAAAAGTGATATAAAAATACAAATGCCATATAAATGGTTTGCAATGCAATCTTATTAAATAATATTATAATAATAAAAATTATTATTATTATTATTTATACTACTTCTAATTTGGCATCCAACTCAAGACAATTCAAGTCGATTCCCAAGTAATTTTTTTGTAAATTAAGTGTGACTTGAGACTGAATGGCACACTATTTATTTGTTTGCTTGTTTGTTTGTTTGTCTGTTTCTTGTTTGTTTGCAGTTCTGCTCTGTTCTTTGGATCCCCTTTT